AAAAAAACACAGACTATATAAATCTCACTATCTAAGCGGTGACCCTGAAAAAATCAAATTCTATAAAATCTACAGCAATAAATTGAATAAAACAAAAACTGCAGCCAAGAAAATCTACTTTGAATCACAATTTATGCTGAACAAGCAAAACATAAAAAAAACATGGAAATTAACTGGTATGCTCGTGGGAAGGAGCACTAAGCATCACTCATGCATTTCAAAGGTAATATATAATAATAAATGTTATACTGATGAAAAGGATATTTGCAACAAACTGAATGAACATTTTATCAATGTAGGTCCATCCCTAGCTCAACAGTTACCTTTAACACGTGATGATCCTACAAAATTCATTAAACATTTATCACCTGAAAGTTTTATATTTCGGGGAATTTGTGATGAGGAAGTCTCTGATTTAATTAGTAACCTAAACTCAAATAAAGCTTGCATTGGTACCCCCGCCAAATGTATCAAACTGGCAAATCCTCACATCAGCTCAGCCCTGGCATCAGTTTTCAACTTATCATTACTTCAAGGAATCGTCAAAGACATTTTGAAAATCTCAAAAATAACGCCTATTGATAAGGGAGGTGAGATATTTGATCCTACTAATTACCGTCCTATATCAACACTCACTTTAGCCAAATTTTTGAAAAATTGATATATAAACAGCTTATCAGCTATATAGAAAAACATAACATACTCTCCAAATACCAATTTGGTTTCAGAAAAAAACACAATACTCAACAAGCAATCACCACAATCATGTGGTGTCTTCTTGGACTTTGCAAAAGCTTTTGATACAGTCAATCACCATATTTTGATTTCCAAACTAGAAAAATATGGTATCCGTGGTGCCCCACTTCAATGGTTTACAAGCTACCTTTCCAACAGACAACAATATGTGCAAATAGCTAACACAAAATCTACAATGAAAATAGTTTTATGCGGAATACCACAAGGAAGTACGTTAGGTCCTCTACTCTTTCTTCTTTATATTAACGACATTGTTCACTCCTCCAACAAAYTCTCATTTAGACTCTTTGCAGATGATACTAATGAATTCCTATCTTCAAAGAGTCAATATGAATTTGAATCCAACATGAACCAAGAATTAAAAAGTCTAAAAAACTGGTGCGATACAAATAAACTATCAATTAACTTTAAAAAAAACAACTTTATGATAATTAAATCAGCTAGGAAAAAACTAACCACACCTATATCAATATATATATATATCCTCCAGCGACACTAACCACTATCTTGAACAAAAAGATCATGTTAAATACCTAGGTGTCATGATAGATGATAACCTAAACTGGAAAAAACACATTTCCTTTATTTGCTCAAAAATCTCAAGAAACACCAACATTTTCTTTAAACTACGTCACTACCTCTCACCTACACAACTTCGTCAAATTTATTATAGCCTTATTTATCCATACCTATCCTATGCTATTACTAAATGGGGAAGTGCATGTAAAACAAACATCAAAATACTCCAAACTAAACAAAACCACATAGCCAGAATCATATTTTTCTCAACTCTATATGGTAAAAATACAGAAAGCCCATTACCTTTATTAAATCTGCTCAATATTCTAACAGTAGAAAACATTTATAMAATTGAAGTTTTAAAATTCACCTTCTCCTGGCACAATCAAAAATTGCCAGATATCTTTAAACATTCCTTCAAATATGCGAAAAATATTCATAATTACAATACTAGATATGCTTCGAAGGACAATTTTCATAAACCCTCTTTTCGAACGAACACTGGTAGACAAACTAT